TTGGCTGCACACATCCAACTGGACCTGGCCGCTCATCCAGCCGTGCAGATTTTGAGATAAAAAAAATAAATGTGTCTTCTAGACATACACACACTTAGAGACACACAGAAGGTAGCATAGCCAGTGGTGTGCTGAAACAAACTGAAGTGATGGCCCATATATTTCAGGTGGGGAAACTTGTCTCTTGACATTAGATGAATTTCATCACTCTCATTTAACTGTAAATTAAAAATTATAACCTTCTGGGTTGAGGAAAAGGTCTTCTTCCACAGAAACTGTCCCCTCAGGTCTGCATACTGAGCAAAAATGTGTTTGTTAGCAGGAAGTATAAAAAAAGGAGTTTCTAAGTTTGCTTGTATTATGACCCCGATTAAGTAATTGAAGAGATGCTCGATGGTGGTCAGACTGACCCTTCTTCAGCTAGTAAAATAAAGATAAAAAAAATAACAAGAGAAAAAAATAACAAATTTAAAAGGCGTATAGAATTTGCTTATTATTTCAACATGCTTAACTTTAAGAAGTGCTAACATAAAACATGCTCAGAAAGCTAATAAAGAAGGCAGGATCTGTTCTTGGAACCTCTGGAGATGATTTCACAATGAAACATTTTCATAAACTGGATAACATTATGGACAACAGAGAGCCTCCTCTCCAGAATATTATTAAACAACAAAAGAATCTTCAGTCAGAGGCTTCTTTAGATCTGTGCAGGACAGACTGCTACAGAAGATTCCTCCTGCCTACAGCCATCAACACCTACAACATCTCATTGAAAAATTGTCAAGAAGGTACTGCATCATTTCATTTCTTTTTAGGATTAATAATGTATCTTGAACTGAATTTAATTGTATATTTTCTATTTCTCAAAATGTTAAGAAAATTAATGAATTTTTCATAAAATATTGACTCTGATATAACTTGTCAAAAATGTTTGTACAGTCAGGGCGTTTTGTACAATAACACATAAACTTTATGTTTTGCTTATAGTAATTTATATCTCTATATATATTTATATATATAAAAAATATTTTTAAAAACTCATCAAAAAAGACTGAGTAACCTAATAATAAAGGCACTACAATCATTTTTTTTCCCCTTACGGAGATAAAAGCTTGTTTGTGATTCAACAGAATTATTCTCTGCAGCTGCTGTTCAGTTTCAGTTATCTGACTGAGGGAGGTTTTTGTACAGCCGATTTTAACTGTGTGAACATCCACTGGTCGCTAACATAGCATTGGCCCTGACAGTAGTAAATTGCAGCATCATCAACCTGAACTTCACTGATGGTCAGAGTGAAGGCAGAGTGTGATCCACTGCCTGTAAAACGACTTGGAGTGCCTGATGCTCGGGTAATGGCACGATAAATAAGCATTTTAGGAGTTTGCTCATCTTTCTGTTGATACCAGGCTAACACATGATGCAAACCTCTATAATGATAAACATCGTGACTGGTTCTACACCTGATTGTAACAGATCCTCCCAGATCAGCTCTCACTGCTGCTGCAGGCTGAGTCACTGTGAATTGACCCCTGGACTCTGAGGACAGAGAGAGAAAAACATAAAGCAGGTTCATGGCTTGTTGGCCTTATTTCAGAGGAACAGATGTTCATAGAGGAGAGGAGTTTGATTCTCTGGACTTTACCTGTGAAGCAGCAGCAGAGGAGAGTCCAGATGAGGACGCAGATCAAAGTCATGTTTTTGATGAGGAGGATTTCTGTGTCTTCTGTTGTCATGAAGGACAGCTGTCAGTCATCCAGAGTTCAACTCTCAGGACTATAAACTCTCCCAGAGCGCTGGAGCATGGAGCTGCTGATGCAAAGTAAATCTCTATGGAAATACTGTGATACTGTGTCCCCTAAAACAAATGCATTGCGTGAGACACTGTCTGATGCTGCTAATTTCATTTAACTTGGTTTTCAACAAAAAAATGGGTTTTTACACAGTTTTTTAATTAAAAGAGTAACATTTAACCTAATTTCCTTTTGCTCACAACTAATGTCAACATCACTGGTAGGAAAACATTTTTTTTGACTTATCAGGTTACACATATTAATGAACAATAGTTCTTTAAACTCTTCTTACATATAGACATGGTGAAGGTTCTCAACATCAATATAGGGAGTCTTGGCCTAGTGGTTATAGCAGTGCTCTTGTGCCCTGAGAAGGATGCAAGTAGCCGGTGCGACCCCTACAGCCAGCACTCTGGGTCCCTGAGAAAGACCTTTAACCCGTGATTGCTCCCCAGGCACCGCACAGTGGCAGTCCACTGATGGGTTAAGATGCTGAAGTGAAAGCCCAGATCTCCATGTGACTGTGGACAGGAGAGAGGGATGCTGACCATGTTCCTGAACTTAACATGGTGCTGAATCCGTAAACGTTGATCCTCTTCTTTCCTGACCACACATCCCTAACATTGTTCTGCTGGAGCTTGTTTTCTAGCCTCTTCCTGTGTGCCTCCCTTCTCTCTTCTATCTTTAGCTTAAGTTGCCTCTGTATGTTTATTATTAATTCCCTCTCTCTGTTCTTAAAGGGTTGTTGTTTCTTCCTTTTTCTTTAAAGCAGGCATCCCCAAACTCGGTCCTCAAGGCCCCCTGTCCTGCAGGTTTTAGAGGTTTCCTTGCTCCAGCACAGCTGATTTTAATTGAAAGCTGATTAACAGGCTTTTGGTCTACTGCAATCATTATAACCAGCTGTGCTGAAGCAGAGAAACCTCTAAAACCTGCAGGACAGGGGGCCTTGAGGACCGAGTTTGGGGATGCCTGCTTTAAAGAAAACAAGTTTTTAATCAAACAAAATGTATTTCAATAATAAATAAAACAATAATGACATGATATTCAAGTAGATGGTTTTCTGCATTGTTCTCTAGTGTCACCTTTCTTCCCTATCATTTTCTTCTAGTTCCTTCACTGCATACCTGCTCCCACTTAGTTCATTACTCCATTCATTGTCCTGTTAGTCCGCCTCAGTATATGTACTCCTCCTCTGCAGTAAGTATTTGCTGGATTGTCATCATCACTTCTGGTGTGATTGATTTCATAGGCTGCGTCCTTCAAGGACCCAGTCTGTCCGGACTGAGTCCTTCAAAGGCTTTGAATATAAGGAGGCCAGAAGAGTTTGATTATAGATTCAAACAGGTCGAGCCTTCTGCGGCTGTCACTGCCCCTCAATCAGCGTAAGCTCTGTTACCTAGCAACCGTGACAGTTGACTGACAGCACAGGCAAAGAATGGATGCTGACTTCTCACTACTGCTCTGTCTGACAATTACATTACTTTCTAACCATTTAAAATAACAATTTTCATTAATTTAAGACAAATTTATTCATATACTTGTATTATATTAAACTTTGCTTATATAATCAGCACTGTTCGTTGCCATTTCCCTTTTTCCTCTGTGCACAGAGCAGCAGGTTGGCTAGGACTTGCAATGAATCACAGGATACCTGCAGTGGATACAGCAAACCAAACAGGCAGGAAGAAGGCAGCATATGTCACCTATGAAGGAGTCTTGCAATCTGTGTTATGTCGTGTTATGGAGCCTAGGCGGAAGTTGAACTGAAGAAACTCATTGCTCTCCGACATCCACCTGCGACACAGCCAATCAACTTTGAACCACACCTCCACGAAAGCCAATCAGCATCAAAAGTTAATCTTAAAAGGCCTCTGAGATGCACTGTGCGCAGGATGTGGATACACTGCATGACTTCAGTCAGATGGCACTGTTTCAACCACTTCCAGCCCCTCCTTTGTAGCTAAAGCTTCATCAGAGCGTCATTCCTCCGAACTCTTACTGCGTTCCCTGTCTCATCTTAACCGGTCCGGCAGAAGACCGCCATGTTGAGCCTGGTTCTGCCAGAGGTTTCTTCCCAATGGGGAGGTTTTCCTCTCCACCGTCGCTCCATGCTTGCTCTTCATGGACAGGTTCTCTCAACCTGTGTTTATCCAACTGGTCTACCATCTTCCAGATCCCTGAGTGAAGCTCTAGTATCAGCTCACGCAATCGACTGGATCTCCCTATAAAGCTCATCATACCGTCTTGCTAACCAGCAGTCTGCAGACTGACCAACTTCATATATCTCCACTCCACCACCAGTTTCAGCCCTTGGGGGAAACAGCCCTATTCTTTGCTCCTGTTCATGCATATCTATCAAAATTAAGCGCTGTGTTTCCTGCCGAGTTTGGAGCACCAAAGACAAAAAAATTGTATCAATAAATTTCTCCTAATTGTCTTTTCTATTCGTGTGACTTTTTAGATTGAAATGACATAATCAACCGACAAATCTGGCCTTCAGAGGATGCAGCCACAACATTCGAACACAACATTCATGATTTGCCACTACCCGTGTTACTCCATTCTGGTTCCTGTGTCCTATTTACCTTTGGATTTATTCTTCTGTCTGCAATCATCAAAATAAACCTACAAGGAATCAACTCTTCCTCTGCATGTGAGGTTCAGTTACACTCCTGCAAACCCTTTTTACATTTTTTTTTAAGTTTATTTAAACTTTGAGTTCACTCTGTTCTTTTTTTTTTTTTTTTTTTAACTGAGAGTAGATGTTTGAACACACACATAAACCCCCGAAAAAAAAAATGTTGTTTTACATCATTATTATGCGTGCTTGCTACTTGATAAAAACAGTCATGAGATCTGATACTGTGAGTGTTCCTTCCTCTCCAGCAGGACAGCATGAACTGTTCTATTGGTTCCACAGTACTGCCTCTATTTTGCTGTTTGTCTTAGTGTTACAACATATGCAATGAATACAAGGAAATATCTTAAAAAACATGTTTTATGTTGATTCATAAAAATAAAGTTTGAAAAAAATAATCAAAAATGATTTTTATATATTTTGTTTCACTAACCTTATGGAGACCCAACACTAAATATTTTGCCTCATAGAGATAAGACAGTTTTATTGATTGTTTCTTCAGAATCTGTTTCTGTGGCTGCAGTTCAGTTTCAGTTCAATCTGACTGAGGGAGGTTTTTGTACAACAGTTTTTTACTGTGTGAAAGGCCACTGGCTGCCAATGCGGTGGTAACTCTTACAGTAATAAACTGCAGCATCTTCAGCCTTAACTTCACTGATGGTCAAAATAAAGTCAGACTTTGATCCACTGCCTGTAAAACGGCTTGGAGTCCCGGACCCCCGAGTGCTGATATAATAAATAAGGAATTTAGGAGTTTGTCCATCTTTCTGTTGATACCAGGCTAAACGATTAGAACTAAAAACTTCATGACTGGTTCTACCTTTGATGGTGACAGATCCTCCAAGATCAACTCTCACTGCTGCAGGCTGAGTCACTGTGACCTGACCTCTGGACTCTGAGGACACAGAGACAAAAACATAAAGCAGCTTCATGGTTTGTCTGCTTCATTTCAGAGGGACAGATGTTCATAGAGGAGAGGAGTTTGATCCTCTGGACTTTACCTGTGAAGAAGCAGCAGAGGAGAGTCCAGATGAGGACGCAGATCAAAGTCATGTTTTTGATAAGGAGGATTTCTGCGTCTTCTGTTGTCATGAAGGACAGCTGTCAGTCATCCAGAGTTCAACTCTCAGGACTATAAAGTCTCCCAGAGCACTGGAGCATGGAGCTGCTGATGCAAAGTGAATCTATGGAAATGCTGTGAACGATTCCAACAAGTATGCGATCATTTGATGAGCTTTTGAATGGAATAAAATAATTTCTTTCTTCGTATTCCAGTCCCTTCAACAAATCGATCAATTCCAGTTTCGTACCACAGTGCCATCATTTTGTATCCATGTTGTTCATATTAGATGGTGGAGCCAGACTTGATGTTAAGGTTAAGTATAATTAATTAGAAGGAACTTTCACTGTCATTACATTTCATTTATTTATTTTATTTTTAGTTAATATATATATATATATATATATATATATATATATATATATATATATATATATATATATATATATATATATATATATATATATAACTTTAGAAGTTCCTCTGCAGCCGCTGCAGGAATCTGGCGCATTGTGGCTCAGTTCTGACTCTGTGGAGCCTCTTTTATAAATTGAAAGAGACGATCCTGAATTTATGATAAAGAGGAAAGAGAGTTAGAAAATAACACAAAGAGAGACACAAAAAGATCAAAAGCTAAATAAATACTTAAAGCCATCCATCTGGTTTCCATCTGGTTACTTCAAAATAACAGAAAATGGAGATAAAGAGATAAACGCAACACATTTAGAACAACAGCTTCAGGTTTAATCAAAGAAATGACACATTTCCATCACATTTATATTAACAATATATGTATGTGTTCTAACCATATACTTATGTTAAAACAATTCCTACAGAAATGTTATAAACAATCAGCAGCTTTAAAGGCTCATCTTCATTTTCAGAGCGATGTGTGTCTGCCCTCTTGTGACCAGAGAGAGAATGACAGCCCTGATGATGCACCTCATCTTTTCATTTCCATTTTTTAAGTATAAAAACAAGCTGCTGTGTTTCACTCTGCTTCAACGGTATGTGTTTCCGTAAAGAGTTTATGAAATTCAGCAGTGACCCTGTTTGAGTTATAACCTGATTTAATCTGAACTGATAGTTAAAACTATAGTAGAGCTAAACAATTGGGTCCAAGATATTAACACCTTAGCTTTGAATAATTGTGAATAACATGTGATAAATACTGCTCAATTTGACAAAAACCGACCAGGTTTATGCACTCCAACAGCCAATGGGACATCTACTTTCTTTTAATGTCTACAATTTCAGACATGCAAAAAAAAAAAGACAGCAGTACCACGGACAGCTCCACTTCTCTGAGAAGCAGGCTAAAGGCCAAAACGCACACAATCTGATTTTCCATCCAATCCCACAGAAAATTGTGTTGAACGACGTTGTGGCGTTTAGTGCTTATTGAATGATGATCACAAACAAAATGATTTTCTGCAAGAGGGCTTCCATAGCTCCGACTGAGATAGTTCCCAGGTCTATTTTAGTCAGACTACCAGCAGCAATTTCATAGATCTGACAGGAAGAGAGAGCTGCTTACAAAATAAGCTTCTCTATCAGTCCATGATTGGTTGCCCTGTTGTGATTTCCTAGAAAAGTTCAGCTTCAACTTCAGCGATAACAACTCCTCTCCATGAGGTGCTGCCGTTTTAAAACACCTCAGCTAGTCACACAAGGTGAAGGAGGAGCAGTGAACGCTCTCACCGTGTGGAGTTTACTGCTGGTCTTTTCCCCACCCATTGTCGAGTGCTTTGTATAGAAAATCTATATGAATCCAATGCGTTTGCCACAGCCACCGCGTTCGGTGCAAGTTTGCAGTTTATTTGTGTAAAGTTTAAAAACATTTCAAATTCTTAAAATACTCATTCTCCTCTCGACAAAAAAATAAAAACTAAAAAAAATAAGCTGATTGTTTAAATTTTGTCGATTTATGGCATGTTGCATCTTCTCATGGCAGGTGTTGTAACCATCGTAAGGATGGGATAGCTTGAAGACCCAAGTGTTTCAGCCTTAAATGAATAGTACACCCAAAACATGATTAGCCTTCATTTTCTACTCACCCCCATACTGAACAACACTCTGGAGTACTTTTTTGATATCTCAAATGCATCTGGAGATCTGGGAGGCTTCTTGCTGTCTGCTGACATTCAAATAATGGAGGTCTATGGTGCCCGAGGCAGAAAGGTCCATAAAAGTCCACAAAAAACGTGTCAATATTCCTCCATACTGCTCGTCCAATGTATTCCAAGTGTCCTGAGTGGGTAGCATCCATAATTTACTCGAAACAAAGTCATTTAGAATGTTTTTAGAGCATAAACAGTAGTGTATAGGATTTCCTAAAAGCGCGTTCACAAGTCTACGGAAACCGCGGCAGACCAAACCAGACGAAAGTGCGCATTCAGCTCGGCAAAGAACTCATGCTCTTCCTCAACACTGAAGTCCTCAGACATTTTTCTTTCGTGGTTTCTTTCTTTGCACAGGTAAACAGCACATTTCTTCTTCTACGCTTGCATTATCGGCAGAGCAGATGCTGAATGCGCACTTTCATCTGGTTTGGTCTGCCGCGGTTTCCGTAGAGTCATGAACTCGCAGGCGCTTGCTTTTAGGAAATCCTATACACTACTGTTTATGCTCTAAAAACATTCTAAATGACTTCGTTTCGAGTAAATTATGGATGCTACCCACTCAGGACACTTGGAATACATTGGACGAGCAGTATGGAGGAATATTGACACGTTTTTTGTGGACTTTTATGGACCTTTCTGTCTCGGTCACCATAGACCTCCATTATTTGAATGTCAGCAGACAGCAAGAAGCCTCCCAGATCTCCAGATGCATTTGAGATATCAAAAAAGTACTCCAGAGTGTTGTTCAGCATGGGGGCGAGTAGAAAATGAAGGCTAATCATGTTTTGGGTGTACTATTCCTTTAAACACTTCAGTGTTGACTACGTATTTTTTATGAATATTGTGAAAAATCAGTCCAATGCAATCATATTTAAATGATATGGGCAATTAGCAGACAGATTTAACAAATATTGTAATATAATAGTAATATTTTACATATTTCATAATCAGAAATACTTTAATAATCCCGGAGGGAAATTACTTAAATTTGCAAAGGATTAAGATATTGTTATTGTTTAGTTTAAGTGCTTTATTGCAAAATTATCATATTATTGAGCAAGGTTTTTTTTTTGTTTTTTTTTTTGTTTTTTTTGGAATAGATGTAGATCCTCTACTGCTACTCTTTGAAATCAAATTCTCTGAATGGTCCAGGTCAGGTCTCGCTTTGGCTTTGCCTACAGATGGGGTTCTCAGCTGACTTTCTGTAATCGAAGTTTCAGATAAGAGCTTTTCCAGTTAAACTATAATGTTCTGAAGTCAAAGTATTGCCTTAACAAATTCTAACTAAATAAGGTTAAATGCATTAATACACAAACCTATCTTTTAGTTTTAGGGTTGCTGTTTTTTCCACCTCATCAGTCAAGTTAACAGAGATTTAATCTGAAGTCTGAAAATATTTCACCTCTGAACTATCGAGGAATCCAAACATCAAATAAAGTCCAAATACAAATAAGTCAATCTTTACGAATCCCAAATATTTAAATTACCAAATTTAAAAGAAAAACATGTTGTAACTTTTTTTTAACTGTGTTGTTGACTTTTCTTTACCACTTAGCTTGTTATTTGCCACATTCTAGTTTTTCCGTTACTGTACGCTATATAATGCATTCTTTAATAAAATATATATTTAAAATATCTGAACATTTTGATTTTTTAATTATTTATACTTTTGCTTGTCTTTGCATTTCAATACCTTTTACTTCGAAATACACTTTTTGTCAGGGTTTGGTTGAGGTTTTGAGGACCTGAATGCAGAGGCGAGGAGGCAGAGGTGAGTTCTTGTAGTTTTAATGGAGTTAACACAGGTAACAGAGGCAGGAATCCAAAAATCCAACATAAAAATGCAAAATAAACCAGAATCATGGAGACCTCATGGAAAACATGCACGAGCAGCCGGGAAAAGACGGGGAACCAACGCTGATGAACTGCACAGGGCAGGGAGAGTATCTATGGGATACTAAATAAAGACAGGACCAACACAAGAGGGCAACAGAGGGCAAGCAAAGAAAAACCTAAGAACTCAAATATAACCAGAAAAATACCACAAAATAGGAATTAAACCAATAAAACTAAAAAACAAAGAACAACATGGATCAAAGTGAAACTGAATACTCAAAAGAAAACCTAACACAACCAAGACCTTGACACTTCTAATATCTTTGTTATTTCTTTAGTCGACCCAGACCCCGATTGCTGCTTTTATGTATCTGTTTGAGAAACATTATGGTGATATTGTCTATTTACTGTAGGTTCTTATTGGGAAGGATGTTGTTCATCCAGCAACAAAGAAACAATTCACCTCTCTAACTAACTCTGTACAGCTTCTTTTTTTCTTTTTTAAATCAACACTGTTGTGACAGATTTTAAAGAAGGTTAAACGTGTCAGGATGCATTGTGGGAATAAATGCGCATCTCAGTCTAAATAAATCAGCAAAAATGTTACAAAATGCGAACCTAATCCCAAAGCTTTGATTAAATAAACTCAGTAAAAAGACGATGGCTCCGCTGTGTTTTTACCTATTTGGAGGTAAAAGAAATTACGTTTTTACCGTGCAGTGTATCTATGAAGTATCAACTTCAGCCCATTTAGAGCTCCGTGAAGTTTTATTTGCCGTCTCTGTAACGGTTTTTGAAACTGAAGGAAAATAATTGTAGTCTGCATGGTATTTCATGTGTTTATTCAAATACAATTTTATATAAAATAACCCTTTTAAACCAATGCACATGATAAAGTGCATGTTAAAACTGACTTCTTTGTGAAACTCTTTCCACAGGTTGTACATGAAAAATTATCCTTCACAAATATGTAAATTCTTTTATGATCAGATGTCTTTGTGTTTAACTTTTCCACAGGTCATACATTAAAAAGGCTAGTCACCTGTGTGAATCTTAATGTGATGAGTCAACTGAGTTTTTTTTCTGAAGCCCGTTCCACAGGTCACACATGAAAACGGCTTCTCGCCTGAGTGAATTCTTATGTGATAAGTTAACTGAGTTTTTTGTCTGAAGCCTTTTCCACAGGTCACACATGAAAATGGCTTCTCGCCTGAGTGAATTTTATTGTGATAAGCTAAAGAACCTTTTTGTGCGAAACTTTTCCCACAGGTCATACATGAAAACGGTTTCTCGCCTGAGTGAATTCTTATGTGATCACTTAACAGATTTTTTCGTCTAAAGCTTTTTCCACAGGTCACACATGAAAATGGCTTCTCGCCTGTGTGAATTTTTATATGAAAAGCTAAATAACTTTTTTGTGAGAAACTTTTTCCGCAGGTCATACATGAAAACGGTTTCTCACCTGTGTGAGTTCTGATGTGCACATTTAATGTACTTTTTTGTTTAAAGGTTTTTCCACAGGTCATACATGAAAATTGCTTCTCATCTGTGTGAATTCTTATGTGACTATTAAACCGAGTTATTTCTCTAAAGCTTTTTCCACAGGTCACACATGAAAATGGCTTCTCACGTGTGTGATTTCTTATGTGATCAGTTAAATAAACTTTTAGTGCGAAACTTCTTCCGCAGGTCAAACATGAAAATGTTTTCTCGCCTGTATGAATTCTTATGTGAGTAGCTAAACTAATTTCTTGTGAGAAACTTCTTCCGCAGGTCATACATGAAAATGGCTTCTTGCGTGCATGAATTCTTTCGTGAACAGTTAAATTACCTTTTAGTCTGAAGCTTTTCCCACAGATCATACAGGAAAATGGCTTCTCACCTGTGTGAATTGTTATGTGCTCAGTTAAATTACTTTTTTGGGTGAAACGTTTTCCACAGGTCATACATGAATACGGCCTTTCACCCGTGTGAATTCTGATGTGCGCAGTTAATCTATATTTTTCTGAAAGACTTTTTCCACAGGTCAGACATGAAAAACGTTTCTTATGTGTAACAGGGGTCTCTGGCCTTAATATTTGTCCACAAACGGGGCTTTCAAATGTTGGGCTCTTAACCATTTTATTCAAGTGTTTATTTTTCTGAGTTTTTTTGAGTCCTTCTTGTTTTGAACTGCCTTCAAGGTTGCTAGTTTCCAGACCTTTGTATTCCCTGGCAGATCCTGAATTATCAGAATTGCTTCTTTCCAATTTGTCATTTTGAGGTTCAGCAGAGCCCTGAATGACTAACTTGAATAACTCTCTGTTTGGTTCTGGTTTCATGTTGTATATGTCCTCATGGAAAGGAGTTGCTAGATGTCGATGTCCTGATATCTGGTTTGACTGTTGCAGACATGCGTTCTGTGGTTTGGTCTCCGGCTTCAGCTCATTCTGCTCTTCATCCTGTTTTATGAAAAACTCCTTTTCTTCTTTCAGGTGCAGAAACTGTAGCTCATCATATTCTTCTTTTATCTGCTGATGGCCTGGTTCCTCTTTTTTCCAGTTTCTCTCCAAGTCACAGGACTGTTGGTCCATAAGAACCGCGTCCTTCTTTACAGGGTGTTGTAGTGAGTCTGGACACAAAAGAAGATAAAAAATTTGCTCTTTAAGTCAAACAAAAGCAAAACTGTTTTTGTCATATTGGTAAAGATGCAAAGTGTATAAAAACTCTTAAATTGCAAGGACTTTTACTTTTTGAAATCACTAAAAGCACCTCTTGTAGCAAAGAGCAGAGCTATATTGTATTCTTGTATTATATAATTAGTTAATTTGTGTGACATGAAATCTTTAACTTTGTGAGTTAATAATCACATCCATTCCAAGAGTTCCCTGTGTTTTTCCTGTGATAGACAGACAGATAGACATAGACATACTAAGTCCGACAGAGATGCTCTCTTGCTTCTCATTTGCTCATATTACCGTAGTATTACATTTCGCATTCTAATCTCTTAGCCAACCACTACAGAAAGTTGGACTAAACTTGGCTTTACAAGGATTCTGCAGGGTCCGTCTGCAAAGGAGTGGAAAAAGACTGTTGCTGGAGTTAATGGGTAGATTTATATGAAGTGTTCTATGGTAGGCCGTTTTTATATTTATTACAAGCAGTCTCCTCTCTGTTCTTTTTCTTTGTAAGGGTAGTGTGACCACAATAACATTACAGGTTTATTTTTTAATGGTAGTGGATAAATGTATTGAGGTTTGCATTTATGTATGTAGGATAAATCATCTGTTTGCCACAAGCCACCTGGGAGACACAGCAAACGGGGAAGAAGGAGCTCTGGTCAGATTAAACAAAAATTTGGCAACACTGAAAAGTGTTATGTCTGGCACAAAAAGCAACACAGCTCATCATGCTGAACACACCATCCAAACTGTCCAGCATGGTGGTGGCAGCATCATGGTTTGGGCCTGTTTTTCTTCAGCAGAGACAGGGAAGATTGTTACAATTGAAGGGAAGATGGATGGGGCCAAATACAGGACCATTCTGGTAGAAAACCAATTGGAGTCTGCAAAAGACCTGAGACTGAGATGGTGATTTATCTTCCAAGAAGTCAATGATCCAAAACATAAAACAAAATCTACAATGGAATGGTTTACAAATGAACATATCCAGGTGTTAGAATGGCCAAGTCAAAGTCCAGAGCTGAATCCAATCTAGAATCTGTAGAAAGAACTGAAACTATTGTTTCAAACACTCTCCATCCAACCTCACTGAGACTGAGCTGTTTTGCAGGAAGAATGAGCAGAAATTAAGTCTCCCAATGTGCAAAACTGATATAGACATACCCCAAGCAATTAGCAGCTGTAAACTCAGTAAAAGGTGGCGCTAAAAAGTATTAACTCAAGGGAACTGTATAATTTTTCACACCAAATTAAATTTTTTTTAATGTATTAACACAATTTGAATCAATTTTGTTCTTCTTCATGGTTGTGTCCCAGCTGTTGTTGATTCTTCACAAAGAATTAACATTTTAGGTCTTTATGTTTGAAAACTAATTGTGGAAAAAGGTTGAAAAGTTCAAGGGGGATGAATACTTTTGCAAGGCACTGTATGCATGTAGTTTGTTTAAAAAACAAAAAGGCAGCCAGCAGGAAAACTATAACAGGAAAAAGAAAATCTATAAGATTATATTTGAGTTCATAGGTTTAATATTTATTAGCTATGATGAAACATTTATACAAATTTACACATCCAAAGAATTAACTAGAATCAAAACCAGAATCCTTCAATTATAATGTAACCCTATCTAAACCTTATCCTTTGTCAGCAGCAACAGAAATATATGATCAAATTGGATTTCTGAAGGCATTTTTTGTATTTTTCTTAGTCATAATCGGAAAAAGGTATTCAACTACGCAACTTTAGTCAAATAAAGGCAGCTTGGTGGTTATAACTGTGTCTGCATTGTATTTGGTCTTGTTAAAGATTAGAAGAAGACAGTCGTAAAAAGCCTCAAAGCTTAATCGCTCAGTCCTGTCCGATCTTGTATTAATTTTAAACTTTTGCAAAGAATGTGAAGGTTCTCACACAGCTTAAACAAAACAAGTTACAAATTCCCAAACCATACGGATGTTGAAATAACCTTGAACCAAAGGAGTCTCCCCTCCCTTCTCACTGGAAAACAGCTTCTCAGGCGTAAGAAAAAAAAAAACTCCTATGCAGACAGATTGTGGCCTTGCAGGTGTGAGACTGCCTTAACAAATACTGTTATCAAGCAAAGATGATAAAATGAATACTCATGGTTAATAAAATTGAGGAATGAATGGGAAATTAATTTTAACTATAGTTGAACTTGGAGTGTTTTAAACAGACATCTACACACAACTATCTGTCCTTTAGAAACATTTGCATTTTGCATTTATTCAAACCAAAGGGTCACATCATCTACAGTATGAGGCTATAACACTGATACCATGGTGGAAATAAAACAGATCAATTTGCACAACAACAGGTTGCATAATGCAGAGGCATCCTCTGCTGGAGCCGTATTTCCCTCTTCATCGTGTTTACTTTGAACAGATTTGCTCAGACAAGCGCTTTCTTTCTTTCTTAAGTTTTACTTGATGCATGCCATGTCATCATAGGTGGTTCTATTACTGAAAGGTCCTTTAGAACAATTTCATTTGTTTTCTTTACAAATTCTGTTTAACTAATTATTTTAAAACAATAATTAGTTAAACAGTTTTCATCTGCTAAATATTTGTTTTTTTAACAAAATAAAATACTCCAATTTTTTTCAGCTGAATTTATCAGTTTTTCTTTAGTTCTAATTCAGATTTATAGAAAACGGTCATTTTAACTTAATTTAAGCAGAATAATATGTAAAATTCCTAAATCATGTATATATAAATATATATATATATATATTGACCTAATAAGACATAGAAGTTTAATTAAACCTAATTGAACAGAATTGTCACTTCATGCATCTATCTTAATATATTTGAATCCCTTGCATCTCGATCTGAAAGAAATCTTCAGAAATGTTCCAAAAGGCAAACCCAATTCAACAACATTGCAAAAATCCTCACATTAAATAAACCATAGCACCACTGTTTGTCTCCTTACCTATTCGGTGAAGGATGATCCTTGGAATCCGGGTGAAATCCAGCAGTCTGAGTTGATCATCAGCCTCTTCTTTGCTGTTGACAACTTCCTTGAATTCTGTGGAGGTTTCCTCTGCAAAGTTTAAATGCTTAAACTCTCGCTGACACTGATCAGATGGCATTCTGGCGAAAAATATACTTAACAGACCAGACAACGCGTGCAAACTGCCCCCGAATGACAAGGAAACTGCAGGTGATGAGACACACGTCTATTTTTTTTTTTTCATTCGTCTCCTTCTAGGATCTATCTGGCTATCTTTGCTGTGCCGCCCCCACCTGGTGCTATGGAATGTGGATAGACAAAATAAACAATCACATAAAATTCGACAAAAGAATCGTGGCCAAAAATCTAAATAAGTCTTCCAAACAAAACAATCTAATTGTCAAAATTTTACTAATTTCATAATGAATCAATTCAATCTGATTTTTACTCATTTCAATAAAACTTCAGCTTAAGTGTGGTATTTTATTTTTGTTCTAAAGAAACTGCAGAATATGCTCTAAAGCCTAACCTTCTGCACAGTAACTGCACTTTTTATACTATGTTAAATTGTCTTTATTTCTTGTCATGCATTTAATTTATATCAATACTACTTTAAATCTTCCTCTCTGTTTTACCATCTGTTCATCACATTCTTTGTATTTTTATCTGCTTTTTTTTATTTCCCTCCATTGCTCATACATTAGAGCACCCAAGCAAAATATTTTCCACATATCAATTTGTAGCCATTTTGTAAGAAGGATGGTTTTTAGTTCAGGATTCTAAAAGACAAAAATGTTGCAAATAACTGCTAGAATAAATTATTAATTTTAATTTGTAATCTATATGTATTATTACTGACTGTTTGTCACATTTTTGGTGAATTAAGCTGGTCTGTTGTTCTCTGTGTGTAACATACACCACCCACAGTGCTTATTATAATATCTACATATGTATTTGAGGAAGAATTGTTTATTGCTTTCATTTGAACAGTTCTTTTTCCATATAAAAAAATCTTGAATCTTAATGAAAGGAAATTCATGTCTGCTACTTTTTGTAACTTATATATATATATATATAATTTTTTTTTCATTTCCATGCAAGTTTTGATTATATAAACTTGTAAAGCGCTGCAAAGCATTTTTCCCCTTAAATTTAATTTTCATAGCCTGAATTGGGTTTCAAATTATAATTTCATTTTAAAGGGGAAATAAACTGATCCAGACGTTAACATATACTTGCTTTTCCCAATTATCTGAGATTATTTCTGTGTTATGTGTGGTATGTCAGTTATATTTTCTCCATCCAGACCTCATGCACTGACTCACCAATAGGATCAATAACAATGCATGTAAACTTGACAGTTAGAATATTCTTTTATTTTTGGTTTTTATGCATCCATTATATACATTTAATTTAAAAATATATAAAGGCTATATATATAAAAAAAAAATCCATTTTAAAATCTAAAGTGTTTTTTGAAGCAGAGAAGAACAATCGTTCAGTTTGGTATATAGACAATTTCCAATTCGCATATTTTATAAAACACGTGAACTGACCGTTTTTTCTTTTTTATGGCTTAATGAGAGCAGTGGGCTTTGAATGGAGACAAAGCCATTCTCAAGCACATATCAAGATGCTCATTTTGAGCCTGGATTTATATTTATTTTTGATTATATTCATGGTGGAGAATCCTGCTTCACAGCAGCAGATTGAGCCAGACATAATCAGAATGTGCACGCCATTTCACTTTTTTTTCACCAGTTCACTGTGCTTCTTCCAGCAGTCCACACTTTCTCTGCTCTTTTTGTCATCGTATTCTTTTTTTCCCCTTTGCCCGGCTTGCCACAGGTTTGCCTGCGGTGTTTAAAAATGGCTCACAGCAGTGACCCAGACTGACAGCAGCTCATTGGTTAATTTGTGTCACCTGTAGCCTGGTACCTCTGGAAGGCTTTACCATATTAACAGAAGAAGCAGTGCAAGTGAAGTTAGACAATGTCTTCAGACAACATGCGGTAATTTATAAATGTTTTAAATCAGTTTGGGTCCTGATTGTCCAGCCGGTGGGTCCGGATCGTGGTCCGCTAATCCGTGACCTCTGCACTAGGCCAACACTCCCACTCAAAAACAAGAAATTTATTTTCAGCATTAACTTTATTCTCATTTAGAGATAAGATCATCTAAAGATTTTGATTATTGCCATGAGCTACTCAGAATGGCAAACTAAGAAACGAATTAACATAAATTTGTGAATTTTAGATGATTAAAACTTATAGTAATGGGATAAGAGGACATTAAAATACTATAAAATTTTTAATACATTTGAAAATATAATAATGAATGTGGCAGTAAATTATGTAATATATTCTTTACTGATATCTTAGACATGAGGCATATTCATTCATAAAGGACCAATATGAAATACCAAAATGTTACAGTACATAATGGATAAACCATTAACAAAGAAATCATCACATAAAAAAAAAAACATAAAATACAGACATTAAAACTTAATTCTTCTTTGGAAAAAGTGTTTTTAATCCAAATTAATATTTCACACTCGGAAAGTTGTCAATCTCATATTGAAAATGGACATTTTTTTAAATCGGGTTTTTGATCAAAAGCTGCTGTCAGTCGAAATTCGTCAAGGCTAATCTAAAGGAAGATAATTCCAGAAAATCCGCAGGCTTTTCACAGTAAATATTTTAAAATGAAAATAAGTGATCGGAATAAAAAGGTCATGTAAAAATATCAGTTAATTTATTCTAATGAGATTTGGCAGGAACAAAATAAATCAATCGGACAGAGGGGTGGTTAATGGGGACGGACAATTAGATCGGCATGGATTTTTTTGTTTTTCTTTTGTTTCTCACAGTGGACATGCACCTACGATGACAAATTCAGACCCGTCCATGATTTCTAAGTGGGAGAACTTGCAAAATAGCAGCGTGTTCAAACACTTATTTTCCTCACTGTATCTCCCTATAAACAGAACAGTCCTTTTATTTTTTTATCGAATCACATTTCTAGCAGATTGTTAAATTGTAGGCATGTAATCATTAGCCTCGTGAGACCATCCTGATCTCGCAAGCTTTCAAGGTTTCACTCGCAGATCAGTCTGGCTACTTTCCGTTGAAGAAAATTTGGAGCCGTTCACCAAACGAAAGTCCAATCAGCGTTGGCTTTGAGCAGAGATGGGAAGTAACGAAGTACAAATACTTCGTTACTGTACTCAAGTAGATTTTTCTGATATTTTTACTTTACTACTTATTTTTATGGCGACTTTTTACTTCTACTCTTTACATTTTTACACAAATATCTGTACTTTCTACTCCTTACATTTAAAAAAATTGGCTCGTTACTTTAGTTTTGAATCATTTCAATGGAGTTACCGTTATTATTTTTCACGTCATCAATACCAAATTCAATCTAACTGGAGGGGAATCTACGTTGCATTTGACGCACCACTACAAGATGAATCGACAGATTCGGCGGTATTCATTGGCGGCAAATCATTGCAGCTTGGTGGCGGTGGCGTTAGCATAGTAGCATGGACGACGAGATGATTGAAAAAGAACACAATGGAGATCTAGTCCTATTGGAAGACATCCATTTAAAATGTAGGCAATAGCATGAAAAAAGTGGTTTCTACTTTTACTTTTATACTTTAAGTAAATTTACAAGCCTGTACTTTGTTACTTTTACTTCAGTAAAGAAGTTTAATCAGTACTTCCACTTTTACCAGAGTATTTTTTAACACAAGTATCTGTACTTTTACTTAAGTACGGAAAGTAAGTACTTTTGCCATCTCTGGCTTTGAGGCGGGTTGAGGTGTGACGCAACGAGAAGCGCAACAGTTCAGTATAAAGAACATGGCGGCTTCAGCCGATGAAACTAGTGTTAGCGTGGCTATCGAGCAAGTTTTATCGGAATTACAGAGTATTTCTTCACTGAAAGAAGAGCAAAGCACTGCTCTGGAGGCTTTTCTCAGAGGAAAATATGTTTTTGCTCTTCTCCTGACTGGTTTCGGCAAGACTATCAATTGGTTCCTCTTCGTTGTCGCTCTGTTACTACGTCATATGCTTCGTTGATCTGATTGGTTTATTTGGCCCGTCTATCACCAACATAGGCCAATCAGCTAACCAGTATTTTCGCCCCTTCCCAAAATTACTTCAACAGAAGGTTTCCAGATGGATATGTGGAGCAAATCCATCTGGCGGAGTCAGGTTATGTAATCATAGCCACTTTCTGCAACTGAAAAAGGAACGGCCTTTAGCCTAGATGGAGTTTCCACAGGTCGCACATTTAAGAAACTTGTTGTCTGAATGTTTTTTCAGGTGAATGGATAATTTTTGTTGAACACTGAAACGCTTTCCACAGGTCAAACACAAAAAAGGTTTCTTACTTGTGTGAATTCTCATATGATTGGATAAAGGTTGTTTTTTAGTGAAATTTTTACCACAGACCACGCAGGGAAACGTCTTTGCATTCGTGTGAATCTTAATATGATTAGATAAATTATATCTTTGACCAAAACGTTTACCACAGGTCAAACAGGAAAATGGCTTCTCACCTGTGTGAAGCTTCATATGATTAGATAAATTATATCTATGACTGAAACTTCTTCCACAGGTGTTGCAGGAATAAGGTTTCTCACCCGTGTGAATTCTCATGTGATCAGTTAAATGACATTTTTGAGTGAAACTTTTCCCACAGGTTATACATGAATATGGCTTCTCACCTGTGTGAATTCTCACATGTTTAGCTAAACCATCACTGCGACTGAAGCTTTTTCCACAGGTCACACAAGAAAAAGACTTCTCCCCTGTGTGAATTTTTATATGATCAGACAAAACGTTTTTTCGACTGAACCCTTTTCCGCAGATCGTGCACAAAAAAGGTTTCTCGCCAGTGTGAATTCTAATGTGATCAGTTAATGTACATTTTTGTGTGAAACTTTTACCACAGGTGATACAGGTAAACGGTGTCTTATTTATATTCTGGGTCTTTGGTATCGAACTTTGTTCACAGGTCACACTGGAAACAGGATTTTCAAACGAATGATTCGTAATTATTATCAATAAGTTACCATTTTGAGAAACATTTTCACTTGACGTTTCATGCAAATACAGTACATGATTC